CTCCAACTTATGACCTATCTAAATTAAAGTTTTCCCCTGGAGATGGATTTTATAAGGGGAACTTAGCAATTAGGAAAGAATGGCTAGGTTTCTGCCCTGTAGAGTGGGCCAGAAGTGTCACATCCAAACCCTGAGATACAAAACACTTTCCCTGATTATCCAACCAAGTCCATTTTAGTAATTTGGTTCTCTTCAACCCATCAGTGGCTGCCCAGAGAATGTGAAATGAGGGAAATATCAAGCTGTTTCCTAGTTGTTTTTGGTCATTTCCCTAGCAGACATTATCGAAAATATAACAGGAGAAAAGCCAAGGCAAGAAGGACTGAATTTTGTCCTCAGTGATTTGTTTGCTCTGATTGATGACTGTGTTTTCTTCTGCACTATGCGATGAGCTGGCCTCTGTGGCTACAGCTGGGCTAATCAGCTGCAACATGGAAAACCCAAAACCACGGCATCTGGGGAGCTTTCCAAAGGCTCGTTGGAATTGTTTACCATGGGGTTTCTTCTTAAATGATTCATTACTCTACAAAACCAATATGACTAAGTTAAATTGTAAATTTGTCCATCACAAAAGGCTAGGAAATACCTCTTATTTGCTTCCCACTTCAGCATAACAACGGAGTTGGAAAAGTGCTTCGCTGTTATCAGCAGCAATATTTGCTGTGAGTTTTTCATAGACCAGGGGTGCCTGACCTGTCGAAAGAGAGAGAAATTTCATTTTCCTGAAGTCTTGAGATCATCTGGTGTGGGAGTGGCTGGGAGATAGGCAGACAGGCGTGGGGATGAATTTTGCCTCTTTCAGTTACTGTGACTTTGGAAGGGTCATGGAAACCTCTCTAAGTTCTATTTCCTCTTTTGTAAACTACAGATGACAGTATCCACATTATCCACATCAAGGGTTACTAAGGGGTTTAAGTGGGAGGATAAATGATCAGCACTTGGCACTTAGTAGCTGCTCAGTAAATCCTGTCTTTCTCCCAGAGATTGGCAGCAAAGAGCCTGGGATCCCTGTGTTATCCTCCTCCCTCATGAACTCTAGAAGACAGTGAGAGAGAGGGACAGAGAGAGAGAGAGAAAGAGAGAATGTGAGTGAGCGTGTGTATGGGAGGAAGTGGTCATCTAGTGGGAGAGTCACTGCAGAGTGGTCAGAGACCTTAAAGATGGAAATGTTTCAATCTCCTTGCTTCCCGTCAGAGGTCAAATTCAAGGTTGCAGGAAGGGAGGTGACATGTCAGAAGCCCCCTAGCTAGCAGGAGACGGAGCCAGGACTCAGACCTGCTGCTTTGCCACAATTTAGGCCATGAAAGTTTTCTCCCTAATGATAATAGGCATTGTTTATTGAGCACATACTAGGTGCCAGACATTTAAAACAACCTTGTGAGAAAAGCTTTATAACTCTCATTTCATTGATGAGGACACTGAGGCTCAGAGAGGCAAAGTTACTTGTCCAGAGTCATATAGTCACCCAGGGTGTGTGGTGAAGCACCCCCTGGTATACCAGACTGCAAAGCCTTTGTTCATCACAGTTTGACACTACTGGAAAGAGGCTCTGAGATTTACCAGCATGCTTCAGTTTCAGAAGTCAGAACATGTGCAGATGAACTAACGGCAGAGAATTCGTAAGCTGAGCCTTTTCTGTTCGTTTGTTCCATACCACATGTAAAAGTTCAATCAGTAAAATCACCTCCGGCCAGCAAAAGAACCACTTCCTGCCCATCTTTTTAGATTGTGTTCTCCTGATGATTTTCAAGGGGGGCTCAGAGCCCAGATTAATTCAATAGAATAACAGAGCAAACCAGCTTCATTCCCAGAAATATCACGTCCAAGTCACTGTGAGTTGACTTCAGTTCACTATCCAGTTGAGCCTGGAATGGCCAAGCTTCAGGGTGTCCCCACACGCACGGTAGACCCAGCCTCTTGGTGCCCAGATGGAAGGGTAGAAACAGAAGGTCCAGCCCATCCGTCTAATGGTTGTCCCTTGGCCAGCTAGTGGGATCTCTTCAAGAGCTTTGTGTGGCAGCTGCCTCGGCTTGGAAAGAGCTTGGCAAATTAGAAAGGAAAACAAACCCAAAGAGGAAATGCTGCTTGCAGCCCAGGCAGTTTTGCATTATCACTCTCTCCTCTTTTGTGCTGAGTTTCAGATCTGTGACTTTCTAACAAAAGGATTTTCTGGCCCAAACTCCAACTTGTTGTGAAAAGCCATGCACAAAAGTGGAGTCAGCTGGCACAGCCCGTGTGACCTTGTGCCAGTGACTCCACAGCTCCTCTATGTCAGTGGGGAAGCAGAACACTGTAATGAAACACAGGGTGGCTTTGCCATTTCCCAGCGATTTGGCCTTGGACAAACATCTTGCCTTCTTTTGACTTCAATATCCACATCTACAATAGAAAACAATAACAGTACTCACTTCAAAGGCTGTCGGGGAATGAAATGAGCTCACAAGTATGGAATCCTTAGAACAATCCTGAGTTCATGCTACATGCCCTGTGGGTTCAGTGTACACTGTTATTATATTTTCTCATCAGTAAAATGGGAATAGTAATAGCACTTGCATAGGATTGTTGTGAGGTTCAAATGACCAGATGTTTCTGAAGGACTTAGTACACAGTAGGTACTAGGAACTAAATACCGGATCTCATGCAGAGAGGCTGAGCAGAGATGCCTTTAAGAGGGTTGATTTGGAGTTCTTGAATGCAGACAGTCAAATCTGGTGTCTGCCAATTACCAAATAAGAATTAGACAGATCAGGTCATTAAGTTATGCAGTTTATTGTTCCAGGAGGTGATATCTGAGGAAAATGAAAAAGTCAGGCAGGCAGCAGGGTGTGTGGTGAAAACACAGTGGGCTGGGGTCAGAAGTCCCGGCTTGGAATCCTGACGCAACCATCCAGATGTAGGTAGCCGTGGGCAAATCTCTTCTTCACTTTGACTTCAATTTCTTCTTCTGTAAAAGGAGAATTTGATGATGTCCCAAATTCCTTCTAATGCTAATACCAGATAATTTAATGTTATTTTCAGGCATCACTCCCATTCACTGCTAGTGGGAATGGTAAAACAATAAATTTATTCAAGTGAATAATTTAGCATAATCTAGTTCATATGAAGATGTGCACATTCACCTCCATTATGGCATGTCTCAATAATTTTATACCTGTTCATTCAAAAAATATTTATTGAACCCTAATTATATCCCAGGTACTGTTCTAGCAGCTGGGGATACACCAGTGAACAAAACAGATAAAAACTCCCAGCTGTCAAGGAGTGTATGTTCCAACAAGGTAGACAAATCACTCACAAGAAAAAAAGTTAAAAAATAAGTGGTTAAGGGAAACTGAAAAAGGAGGGAAGGTTGTGGTTTTGGATGGGGTGTGTCTGTTTCCCCACTGGATGGGAGCATGGCCTCATCCAGGGCGGTGCCTGGCACGCAGTAGGTTCTGAGTAAAGGTTAGGTGAACAAATGCCCGAATGAGCAGACCCTGAATCCCAAAAAGACTGATTTGATGCACATGTGTGTAGTCTGTGTATTTTCATCTGAAATGAATTAGCGCCAGCAGTTTCCAGAGCAGAGCTGAAATGATTACATTACCATTATTTTAAATCTGAGAAGCACTAGGGAATGAGAGCCACATCCTCCTCCCAAACCAGGCCAAGCAGAGGAGGCCACAGAACAGCGTTATTTGCACATTGCTGCCCCCTGGTGCTGGTATAAAAATATGGCCACATTTGCTTACCTCTAGGGTAAAATGAATTAGGCTGGTGCAAAAGTAATTGCAGGCTTGGCCATTAAAAGTAATGACAAAAACTGCAAATACTTTTGCACCAACCTAATATCAGTGAGCCCACAGCACCATCACTGAAGTGTTGGGATGAAATTGTCAGTGTGGCGATGACCACGTTTGTCAAATCCAAAAGTCTGGACAGTATGGCCTTAAGGGAGCAGTGGTTAGAATATGACTATTTCAGACATGTCAGTGCCATGATTTTATTTTTATGATGACAACATGATGTCTGCTCAAATATCACTTTTCGAGAGTTTATAATTATCCAAATGGATCAGAGCTCATAGAAACCTAAGCTCACGCCTGTAATCCCAGCACTTTGGGAGATTGAGGCTGGTGGATCACCTGAGTTCGGGAGTTCGAGACGAGCCTGACCAACATGGAGAAACCCCATCTCTACTAAAAATAGAAAAAATTAGCTGGGCGTGGTGGCACATGCCTGTAATCCCAGCTGCTTGAGAGGCTGAGGAAAGAGAATTGCTTGAACCTGGGAGGCGGAGGTTGCAGTGAGCTGAGATCACGCCACTGCACTCCAGCCTGGGCGACAAGAGCAAAACTCCATCTCAAAAGAAAAAAAAAAAAAAAGAAAAAGAAAAAGAAAAAAAAAGAAACCTAAGCTATTTCCCAGTCCTAGGACTCCGGGAATGTTTCCTAAGGAGTTCATGTGTAGACTTCAGGGACTCTCTGACCTTCTGTTTGGGAACAATGTTCCCAAAATGTGTAAGGAAGTGTTAGATCCAAATAGCCAGGGAGTGCTGGGCCAGTTGCCCAAGGTGAGTCCTCCACAAAATAAGACACTTGTGTTCACTTAGCACAGTGGTTCCAGCTTGAATCTATTTCGTTTATACACACATTCCCCATTTTACCTCATATCAAGGTGGCTGGTAATCAGGTAGTTTCCTAACCACTCTAAGCCCATGTTTTCTCATCTAAAAACAGGAGAAAAATAATACTTATTAAATAACGTTTAATAAAAAAGATAAGAATAGTCATGTGAAAGAAAGTAGTAAAATATCAGACACCCATTAGATGCTTAATAAATGTTTTTAAAAGCAAACTTGTGAAACACTGACATTGATGGAAACTTACAAAGCATTTCGAGATTCGTCAGTGACAGGATGACTTCTCTGATGAATTATTCCTGGCACTAAGGTCATTGTAAGCTAATGAACACTACCAAATAGTGAAAAATTCTAATAAACTTTGTCTGTTTTATTCCAGGTGTGTTTCTGTCAGAGTACTTGGAAAACCATTACATTGAAAATGTTGCTATCTTTTGTGTTTGAAGGTAACACTATTTACCCAATTTCTTTTTTTCTTTGGTTCTGATTGAAAATAGTATTATATTATAAAAACTAATGTTTCCTACATTGGGGACCCAGGAAAACTGCCTTGGGGCCTGCATCTTAGGGTTCTGCTATGGGCTAAATGTTTGTATCTTCCTAAAATTCATGTGTTTAAACCTAACCACCAATGTGATGGTATTAGGAGGTGGAAACATTGGAAGGTGATACGGTTTAGCCTTATAAAACAGGCTACAGAGAACTGCCTTGCCCCTTCCACCACGTGTGGACACAGCAAGAAGGCACCATCTATGAATCAGAAAACAGTCTCCCACCAGAGAGTGAATCTGCAGTGCCTTGATCTTAGACTTCCCAGCCTTCAGAACTGTGAGAAATAAATTTCTGCTGTTTATAAGCTACCTAGTTTCTGTTATATTTTATGGAAGCCCAAGTGAACTAAGATGGGTTTCTGTTTGTAGAATCAGCTGCTTTTCCTTTTAAAAAAATTGTAGGTTTTTTTTATTACTTACAACAGTAATATGTGATTATTGTAAAAAAAAAAAAAATGAAACATTACAGAAACACATGGCCTGTAAAGGAAACATTTTCCATAATCCCAACTTTCTTTCAAAGGTTTGGCATATGATTGTGTTCATTCTGTTTAATGAATATACCAACTTATATGCGAGCGCTTTAACAAGAATGGGATCATACTAACATGTTCTGCAATTTGAGTTTTTTTAACATCAGGCATCTTGGATAAGTTCCACATCTTTCTGCCACGTCTCTCTCTCTCTTGCTGTCTCTCTTTGTCTCTCTGTAATTGGTGTGTAGTGTTCTATGGTGAGGTGTACCTATTGTAACTCTGCAGTTTCCTTTCTAGGTGGTTTGCTGCCTTTAGTCAACAGAATACCAGAGATCCCACCCATGCATGGTATCTCAAGGGCTGGAGGAGAAAAAAAAGACAGCCAAGTGGGAGCGCCCTCATTTGAGACTGTATTTGAATGAGCAGTAAGTAGTGGGTAGTTGAACCTGTAGAGGCTGAAGGGCCTAGAGGCATTGTGGACAAGGCTCCTTGGCAGCTGAAAGATGAGTGGTGTGCTATGAATCCCATCTTACCTATAAGAATGGTACCCTTTAATGGGAGGGTTTTTATGGTTTTTATTTTAAGCTTCCTTCAGATATTATTTATTCAGTCAACAAACATTTTTGAGTGTCTACTCTGAGGCAACCAGGAATGCAGAAATAGATTTTCTTAATTGATAAAAATTGATCAGTATCCATAGAGCAATAATCAATTGCATTCTATGGGACACAATTCATTTGCATTGATCTGGACACAAAGATTTGCATGACTCAGCTTTCTACAACTTACAGGGTAGTAGAAGGATTCAAAGACAATGAGGCTGGGCATGGTGGCTCATGTGGTGGCTCAATCCCAGCACTTTGGGAGGCCAAGGCAGGCAGATCACTTGAGGTCAGGAGTTCGTGACCAGCCTGGCCAATATTGTGAAACCCTTTTTCCACTAAACATACAAAAATTAGCTGAGTGTGGTGGCGCATGCCTGTAATCCCAGCTACTCCAGAGGCGGAGGCAGGAGAATCACTTGAACCTGGGAGGAGGAGGTTGCAGTGAACTGAGATGGCACCACTACACTCCAGCCTGGGTGACAGAGCAAGACTCTGTCTCAAAAAAAAAAAAAAAAAAAAAAAATTAAAAGACAATGAAAGGCAGAGATCACCCAGAAAGGTATATTAGGCTGAACATCCAGGAATTTTGTTCTTCCTCTCGTTTTAAAGACTTTCAGTATTTTAATGGACAAATATCACATTAATATACAACTGAAAAAATGTGGCATGTAAACACCAAGATCATGGAGATAAAGGCGGTTTAAAAACAGCAGAATTAATTTATCTGTAAGATGACTTTGGTAGGAGGAAAGTATGCCACTCTTTCTATAAAACAGCAAGGAAGTGCGGGGGCTGATGTAGGTAGCACACATTGCTACTTGATGTTGGAGGGCCCGCATAGGGACACTCGATGTTTATTAGTGGGTGATGGGGATTTCACCATAGATCGCAACTATTTCCTTCAACCTGAACTTCCAGGTCAGCTGGAACCTCCCAGACATCAGCAGATGTAAGCCTGAGCCTCTTCCTCTCCAGATGCTCTGATTACCCACGTCCTTCTTGCTCAGTTCCAGCTCTGCGGCTTCGTTTCTTGCCTGAGGGTTGTACCTCTTCTTTGATCCCAGCTTCTTTGACCCAAAATTTTTCCAAGAAAATAGGACTTTACTTTCTCCCTTTCATCCCTGTGATATTGTTCTGATTATAAGATTGCGATGGTTAATATTAAGTGTCAACTTGATTGGATTGAAGGATGCAAAGTATTGTTTCTGGATGTACCTGGCTGTTTCTGACTGTGGCCAGAAGAGATTAACATTGAAATCCGCTGACTGGGAGATGAACACCCACGCACAATGTGGGTGGACACCATCCCATCGGCTGCCTCCCGTGTAGCTAGAAAAAACAGGCAGAAGAAGGTGGAAGAAGCCGATTTGCTGAGTCTTCCGGCCTCCATCTTTCTCCGGTGCTGGATGCTTCCTGCACTGGAACATCAGACTCCAAGTTCTTTGGCTTTTGAACTCTTGGACTTACACCAGGGGTTTGCCAGGGGCTCTTGGACCTTCGGCCACAGACTGAAGGCTGCACTGTCGGCTTGTCCACTTTTGAGGTTTGGGAACTCGGATTGATCCACCACTGGCTTCCTTGCTCCTCAGCTTGCAGTGGGCCTATTGTGGGACTTCACCTTGTGATCATGTGAGTCAATTCTCTTTCATAAACTCCCTTTCATATATACAAATCCTATTAGTTCTGTCCCTCTAGAGAACCCTGACTAACACAAGGGTCATATACAATCATTGGGACTTTTGGAGTACCCTGGATAGAGGCCATCCTGTGTCTCCCACCAGCTGAGCTCAGAAAATAGAGAAAAACTGCAAGCTTTTGGAGAACCTTCAAACATCATGTTTAAAGAAAATTTAATTCACTTCCTTTTGGCTGAGGTCTTGTTTTGAACCCATACATCAGCTGAAGTGGGTTGTCTTGAAATTCAAGTGAAAAGACTTAAATCTGATTCTGTATACAGCGAGAGTTATTTATCTTTTCCTGTCTCTGAAGGGATTTGAAGGGTGGGGCAGGATGGGATAGTTTAAGCCTTTTCCAATCATCTCTAAATCTCCCGCTGCCCATATATTCATTGGGTAATTGGTTGTGACAGTTTTGTCACAATGCTCAGCAAAGTGTATCCTTGTTCTGTTTCAAATTGAAACACTTCCTTGATTGATTTCCACCAAAAATATCTACCCACAGAAGACCCACATGAGTGGTTGTTTGGCCTAATGGGGATGAGGGTTACATCATAGCAATGCACAAATCACTCCTAACTGCATGCTAGCAACCAGATTCCTTTTCTTCTGTGTTTCTTTAGCCATCCTTTCATGCTCCTTGGCTATTTTCTCTTTTTTCTCATTCCTATTTCTTCTCCTCTTCTTTGTCTCCTCTTCCTCAGGAGGAAAAAGGCGAAGTTTTTATCTCTTTGTGCAGAGTAATCCAACTTAACTCTCAGCCTATGTTGTCTCTCCCAAGTTCAAATCCAGACCATCTTTTGTATGGACCCATGTATCCAAGACTGTTCTTAGTTGCAAGCAACAAAAATGAATTCTAGATGAATTAAGCAGAATAATTTATCAAAGGAAAATTAGAATAGTTCAAGAATTGACAGAGTTGCTGGAGAATCAGGCGCAGGAAATGAACAGGCAAAAATGGGAGTGTGGGTTCCAAGACCAGTGTGAAATCGTGCAGAGACACATGGTGGAGCCACTGCTAGGTTGCTACATGTCCTAGCTGGCACCACCACCAACACTGTGGTCTGCTGTAGCCCTCCTCCCCCTGCAGACTGGTCTTGCCTCCAACCAAGCCCCATAGAAATAAGAAGAGCCTCAAGATCCTGGAGACTTCAGTAAAATGACAACTGTCCACCACAGCTCAGGCTTTGGTGAACGAAGCACTATCTGTTTTGCATTTCTCTTTACTCTTCCATCTCTCTTTCTACTTCCCTATATAGAGACATTTCCCACTGATGACCTAAATTGTGTCCTCTGATTCCCCAGTCCTTGGCCTCAGTGCCTGCTCCTTAGATACAGAATTGGCTACGATCATTTTTTTTTTTTTTTTTTTTGCTACAATCATTCTTGTTTTTAATCATTTTGCTCCCTGTGACTATACTTTTGCCCACATCAATCTCCATGACAATTCTATAAAACAGATATGATTATTCCTCATTTTACAGATGAAAAATCTAAGTCATGGAAATGTTACGTGTCTCAGTCACGCCACACAGCTAGAAAATAGTGGAAACAGATTTCAAACTCAGGACTGTCTGATTCCAAAATTCATGTTCTCATTCTAAAGTTTTTTTAATTTTTATTTTTATCAAAACTGTGGATGCTAAATTACTATTGATATTTTGTATTTACCTCTATGGCTGTAAATAAATAGCTTATGTTGTCATTTCTTGATCTGCTTTGACTATCGTTCTTTTACTTCCAAGTACTGAATGTAGGTATTAATATTTAACTCTCTTTACATTCCCCTACTCTGCTATCATCACATTTTCCCCAACCCACCATTACAATTCTGTCATAATTTGGCTTAGAACTACTATCAATATTCAATGGATATATTACTATGACTAGGTAAACTATTGACAGCTGTGCCATGGCATACACTATGATGCTATTGTAAATAGTATCTTCACTTGGATTTCATTTTCTGTTTGTTGTTGGTAATTAAAAATGTCATTATTTTCTTTTGTATTGACCATGTAACAGCAGTCTTGCTATATTAGCTTATTAATTCCAACAGCTTATCTGTAGCTTTTTTGGCCTTTACATTCATAATCATATGTTTGTATAATTGCAGTTTTCCCCTTCCTTTCTAATTTTCATTCCTTTTTTCGTTGAAGTAATCTTGATTGAGGTATATAATTCATACACAATTAAATGAATACATTTAAATGTACAATCTAATGACTTTGGACACGTGTGTACCCAGGTCTGTATCACTACAAACAAAATAAAGAACCTTTGCCTAGTGTCCCTGGCCAGGCAATAGCACCCCACATTCTCAACTCCAGGCAACTGCTGATCTTATTACATATTGTTTCTTTTCTAGAGTTTTTTTTTTTTTTTTTTTTTTTGAGGCAGAGTCTCGCTCTGTCGCCCAGGCTGGAGTGCAATGGCACGATCTCAGCTCACTGCAATCTCCACCTCCTGGGTTCAAGCGATTCTCCTGGCTCAGCCTTCCGAGTAGCTGGGATTACAGGCACCTGTCACCACGCCCGGCTAATATTTGTAATGTTTAGTAGAGACAGGGTTTCTCCGTGTTGGTCAGGCTGGTCTCGAGCTCCTCACCTCAGGTTACCCACCCCTCCTCAGCCTCCCAAAGTGCTGGGATTACTGGGAAGCAGAGTTTTATTTATTTATTTATTTTTAACTTGCGTCTTTTTATCGTTTCTGATGTTGCTTATTTGACCTTTTCTCTTTTTGTCATAGTCTTACCATTTATTATTATTATTATTTTTTTGGCCAGGGGTTTATCAGTTGTATTAATCATTTTAAATAACAAACTTGACTTTGTTGATTCTGTTATGTGCTTATTTCCTATTTTATTGAATTTTGCTCATCTCTGTGTTATTTCCTTCTTGGGGCTTAATTTGCTATTTTTTTTAAAAAAGCTTTTTGAAATTGATGCTTAGATTATTGATTTTCTTTTTTAAAATAATTCCAAATTTTATCTTAGATTCAGGGGGTACACATGCAGGTTTGTTACATGAGTGTATTTCATGATGCTGAGGTTAGGGGTATGAATGTCCCAATATCCAGGTAGTGAGCATAATACTCAACACGTAGTTTTTCAGCCCCTGCCCCCTTCTCTTTCTCCCTGCTCTA